GTTTCTACGCTCATTTTTTTTACGAGCATCACAAATACTTCCTCCGTAAAAAAATATAAAAACATTTATATCACTATTTTAATGTTCTAAACATTCTTATATTCCTTTACGAAGGGAGTACTAAATTTTTGCTTAAAATACAGGCACAGGTAGCCTGGTAATTACGTTTGGTCGGTGAAATAACACTAGTACCAGGTAGCACGTACTATGCAAGACCGAAAACAATGATCTCTTTCAATACTGTTCGCCTCACACGCTAGCATGCTGCTTTTCAGTAGTTGTGCAAGCGCACCCGCTTCTGCTGCAGCATCACAAGCACATCTCGAACTCTTCAGATCGAGTTCAATCCTAAACCACTCACATTTCATAGTATGATCCGAAGTCCAAACAATGCGTCTTTACACTCTGAACAGGATATAGTAATTGTAAACTACAACGCCCGCCCTCAGAAACAACAACAACAACAACAACAAAAATGTATGTGCCCGGAACTTCTAAGTGCACAGCACAGCTAAAGATGTTATTAACAGCAATTGTGCTACAAACAGTTGAATGAAATAATAAGCAGCAACAATTGCAAACCGTGCAACAGAAAAATGCAACAAGATTTTCAGGACTGCTGTACCATTATTTTCTAGAACAATACTACTACTACTAGAACCATGTCAAATTCTCAATATAGTGGTTAACTATTAGCTATTGGGCAAAGGGCCTGAAATATAACATTGAAACTCAACCCAAAATCTCATTCTTTACACAAGAAATCAAGAAGATTTGGAATCATTTATTAGAGTAAAACATGTCTAAATCCTGCAGGAAATAAAACTGTTCCAACCTATCACCACAGACACACATAAGATGGCCCCACATTTGACCATCAACCAGCTCCCACAAATACACATTCCAACAATCCAATACAGAATCCTACATAAGCCAAGTTAGATTTTACGAGAGCATCACATCAACTGCGCTCATATACTAGTTATAACCAGCAACAGACAGCAATAGTTGACGGTGGTAGATGCAATAGATAGATGCATGAAGAAAACTGCATTATAACAGAACACTTCATGGAGAAGTTGACTATGATGCAACATTCAAGCATTTATTTTAATTAGTTGTGCTTAAGATATTCTTGAAGGCAGGTGCAGCTTCAAGTAGGCAAAAAGTAAAATCTGCCTCTTCTCATTATCAGTTACAAACAGGAAACAACTATTATCAGTTACAAACAGGAAACAGCTATCAAGAGGTAAAATCAATCAATTCTTCAGTTCAAGAAATCTATACCACTATATAGTGTGCGAATAACTTTGAATAACAACCATTGGATGAAGCCGATCTAACGGTGGAGACGTGGCAAATCCGAGTGTTATTGACCGTTGGATCTTCTCATTACTTCACTGGATTCTTCCACGTGTACTATCTAGAAGATTCTATGGTTGGGCTAAAGCCATATGGACATTTTGCACAAAATTTAAAGCACACTTCTACTTTATTCTAGACTCTTCCATACTCAGACTCTCCTAACTTCTTTTTCTATCAAAACTATCATTCATTTTACTTCGTATTCAAGTCTATGTACCTTCATAAATCATATTTATCTTTACAGATACTGTAGAACATTAGCTTTGAGATAGCCAAAAAAGATACCTAGATAAAACACGCTCAGTATATTTTACGTGATTTTTGTATGTTATACTTCATGCATGTGCCTCACAATTTCATTTGCCGGCATAACTAGCCAAAAAGGATACCTAGATAAAACAGGCACAATATATTTTACAGTAACAATATGTCTATCTTTGGTTGTAGTTTGACTATATGAGCTCTCACGTGCTATGCACGTATAACTTACTAGTAGTAATATGAGGCATAAAGAATGCTTCAGAACAGAATGTTACTAACTGTAAAGTACAGCACCTGCCCTCAGAAATATGTTAACATCCCAATCTACAAAATGCATGTAGAAACAACAAAAAACTAATTGTGCCTGAAACTTTTATATGCACGGCGCAACTAAAGAAGTTATTAACAGCAACTGTGCTACAAACATCGCATGAAGCATCTATCCAAAATGGTTAACAGTTGAATTGAAATAATAAAAGGTAGTAATGGCAAATCATGCGACGGAAAAATGTAACAAGATTTTTAGGACTGCAGTACCAGTCTTTTCTAGAACAATACTACCACAACCATGTCCAATTTTCAATATAGTGGTGAGCTTAGTCTCCATAAGACCTACCTAACCATCTCCATCGTTTCTCTGATTATTAGCTACTGGCCAAAGGGCCAGAAATATGACATTGAAACTCAGCCAAAATCTCATTCTTTATGCAAGGAATCAAGATGATTTGGAATCATTCACTAGAATAAAACAAGTCTAAATCCTGCAAGAAATAACACTGTTCCAACCTATCATGGCAGACACACGTAAGATGGCCCCACATTTGACCATCAATCAGCTCCCACAAATGCACATTGCTACAATCAACAGCCAAATTTGATTTTACGAGAGCATCACAATCTGCACTCATATCCTAGTTACAACCAGCATACATACAGTCACAGTAGAAGGTGGTAGATGCAATAGACAGATGCATCAAGAAAACTAAATTATAACAGAACACTTCATTGAGAAGTTGACTATGATGTACTCCCTCCGTCCGAAAATACTTGTCATCAAAATGGACAAAAATGGATGCATCTAGAACTAAAATACATCTACATACATCCCATTTTATTCATTTTGATGACAAGTATTTCCAGACAGAGGGAGTAGCATGCAATCATTTAATTTAATCAGTAATGCTCCAAGGTATCCTAGGAGTTAAGTGCAGCTTTAAGTCAGAAAAGAGTAAAATCTGCCTCTTCTCATTGTCAGCTACAGCAAAGGGAACAAACAGGAAACACACTAAAAATTGACAATTAAGAAGACCACTAGATCAAGAGGTAAATCAATCAATTCTTCAGTTCAAGAAATAATGATATGAGGCATAAAGAATGCTTAATATCAAGTACGGAGAAGAACACTAGATAAACAGAATGAAGCATGCCCTCAGCCCAAGAAAATAGAGACATGAGGTGGATCAGTTCGAAAATATTTCAAAAGCAGAGCAAACCGGCTTGGTATTTAGCATCAATACAAGCAGTAGTCACTTCATCCCGAAATGGTATCTAAAGTCTGAAACAAGCATAGCTTTCGTGCAACCACATGACAGCCACTTCTGATCAACACAAAAAGAAGAAATCAGCAGGCTCATACTTGATCCAATACATAAACACTGCAACTCACGAGTATATGAAAACTAGGCCATTAAGAAGCAACGACTCACTCAACAGCCCTCAGATTAAAGGTGAAGCATCCACAGCGTAACCTTCTAGTGTTGTGAAAAGATCATGCGGAACAAGAGTTTGTTTGAGCCGGTGCCTAGATGTCTTGGATGCTAGCAACCAGTTTGCCATCAGTGTCAACGTAAAACAGCCAATGACCAAAACTGACCAGCAAGAGAAGAACACTAGATAAACAGAATGAAGCATGCCCTCAATCCTAAACAACTTCTGTTTCATAGTATGATCCGAAGTCCAAACAGCATGTCTGTGCGCTCTGAACATGATGTTACTAACTGTAAAGTACACCCGCAAAAAAATCTGTAAAGTACAGCACCTGCCAGCAGAAATATGTTAACATCTGAATCTACCAAACGCATGTAGAAACAACAAAAAACAAATTGTGCCCGGAACTTTTATATGCACAGCACCACCAAAGAAGTTATTAACAACAATTGTGCTACAAGCTTCGCATGAAGCATCTATCAAAATGGTTAACAATTGAATTGAAATAATAATAGGTAATAATTGCAAACTGTGCAACAGAAAAATGCAACAAGATATTCATAGATTTTCAGGACTGCGGTACCAGACTTTTCTAGAACAATGCTACTACAGACATGTCCAATTCTCGATATAGTGGTGAGCTTAGTCTCCGTAAGACCTAACTAACCATGTCCATCATTTCTCTTATTATTTTATTAGCTATTGAGCAAAGGGTGTAAATATGACATTGAAACCTAGCCTAAAATCTTATACACAAGAAATCAAAAGGATTTGGAATCATTTGTTAAAGTAAAACATGTCTAAATCCTGCAATAAATAGATCTGCTCGAAGCTATCAAGACAGACACACATAAGATGGCTCTATGACCATCAATCATCTCCCACAAATGCACATTGCTGCAAGCCTACAATCCAATACATGATCCTGCATAAGCCAAGTTTAATTTACGAGAGGATCACATCAACTGAGCTCATATACTAGTTAACTTATAACCAGCAACAGACAGCCACAGTTGACGGTGGTAGATGTGATAGATAGATGCATGAAGAAAACTGAATTATAACAGAACAATTCATTGAGAAGTTGACTATGATGCAACATGCAAGCATTTAATTAAATTAGTTGTGCTCCAAGGTATTCTAGAAGTCAGGTGCAGCTTCAAGTCGGCAAGGAGTAAAACCTGCCTCTTCTCATTGCCAGCTACAACAAAGGGTACAAACAGCAAACACACAAAAAAATTGACTATTAAGAAGACCACTAGATCAAGAGGTAAATCGATCAATTCTTCAGTTCAAGAAACAGTGATGTGAGGCATAAAGAATGCTTAATATCAAGTATGGAGAAGAACACTAGATGAATATAGAATAAAGCATGTCCTCAGCCCAAGAAAATAGAGACATGAGGCGGATGAGTTCGACAATATTTCAAAAGCAGAACAAAACGGCTTGGTAAATTTAGCATCAACACAAGCAGTAGTCACTTCATCCCGAAATGGTATCTAAAGTGTGAAACAAGCATAGGTTTCATGCAACCACATGACAGTCACTTCTGATTGACACAAAAAGAAGAAATCAGCAGGCCCATACTTGATCCAATACATAGACATTACAACTCACGAGGATATGAAAACTAGCCTGTTAAGAAGCACCGCCTCTCTCAACATCCGTCAGATGAAAGGTGAAGCGTCGACAGCCTGACCTTTTACTGTTCTGAAGAAATCATGCGGAACAAGAGTTTGTTTGAGCCGATGCCTAGAGGGAAAGATGTCTTGGAAGCTAGCAACCAGTTTGCCATGAGTGTCAATGTAAAACAGCGAACGACCAAAACTGGCCAGCAAGAGCTCGTCACCACCACCCGAAGCAACGGTCACATACCAATAGCACTCACCATCATGGCCTTCAAGCTTTCCCCTGATTTCTGCGATCGGCAATGCAACCCGGTACTTCAAGTCCCAAACCTCACTGTCGTAGTTCGGCAACACCCATATATCAACAACTTCCGCAGCCTTGTTACAGCAATAGATGCCAAGCATGTCATCCATCTCAAGGATGCATGACTTGGTGGGATCAACTGGAGCATGCATCTGCCGAAATGACTCAGCTATGGTGTCAAATACCACCAGTTCCCATCCAGCCTCACAATCCTCCAGTGGGGTCTCGCCTGGGCGATAAAACAGGCACCAATGCAGGCTATCACGCACCCGGGCAGGTCCGTGGAAGTAAGCCGACGAGAATTTGGGCTCCGACAACCCGATGTACCTCGGTGGCTGGTCGGATCCCAGCGCAAAGACATAGCAGCCATTTTTGCCTGTAGGCGAGTCAAAGTCACTGTCGTCCCCCCAGTCCATTGCGCCCCTCCATTGCAGTAACAGCCGGTACTCGTCGGTAGGTCCGTGTAGGTACATCCCCAGGATGTTGAAGTCCGGCAGGGGCGGGAGGGAGGCGTGCTGACGCGTTACCGGGTTGCAGACGGCGAGGCGGGCGCGATTGCCAAGCATGCCAGACTTGGCGACGAGGAGGAGGCCGTCGCAGCAGAGCTCCAGACTGAAGGACCCGCCAAGCCGGGCGACGGTGTGGAACTGGGCGTCGGCGGTGGCGGCGGACCGGTGGTCGAAGGCGAGGAAGTTACGGTACCTGTTGTCGGCGGCGATGGGGAATGCGGGCTGGCGTGCGTGGTGGGCCAGGAGGAAGCGACGGGTGGAGGTGGCGCGGCGCCAGGCGCGGCGGACGGCGCGGCAGCGGATGAGCGATCTGGGGTCAAGGCGGGCGAGGATCTCCCAGAGCACGATCTCATCGGGGAGGTTGCGGAGGAGAGGCGTCGCTCCTGCGGCCGCGGCCTCCGCCATGGTCGCCGGCCGAGGGGAGGTTGGTGTTTCTGTTTCGGTGGAGAGAGAGTCGGAATGGAGATTTTTCTGAATAGGAATGGAGATAAGCGTAGAAGAAATGGAACTCTGGGCTGTGGAATGGTAGCAGCTCTCAAACGGGCTGGGCTTAGCCCAGAAGCAGATCGCTGTGAACTTTTTTTAATGGAGGTAACTGTGAACTGAAACGTCCTTTCAATTACTCATGTTTTTTTCCTACAAAAAAGTTACTCATGTTCCGGAAATCCAACTCTGACCCCAAGCTCATGCTCCCCGGTATGAAAAGGGTGTCTGATTGAGGGTAATTAAAGTCACGGAATGGAAATTAAAGGGGTACCAGACTTTAAATCATTTGTTTGGTTAGGGGGATTGAGAATTTATAAAGGAATAGGTCTAGGACTTGAGACTCTAACTCTCACCGTTTTATTAACAGGGGAGAGGAAGGGGTTGGCAGTTGAGAGGGAATTATTTTAGTGAGTCAATCTTAACCCTTCGTCATAACTTTATGTTCACTTTCCTGGTCTAGTCCCTTGTCAATTCTCATGAACCAAACAAAGGAATACAAATACCCTCAAATTCTCAAATTCTCAAAAATAATTCCTATCATGGCCAAACCGAGGATTGAGAATAAAATGACTCATACTATATCTAATCTCAATACAATTCCCTACACTAAACTCCCATCCCCCTTCCCAAATATTGCCAAACGCGTTGGAAAGGTAAAGGAAATAAAATATCAAACAAATCCAAAAAAATCTAAAAAGAATTACGCATCGAAGATGAAAGACTCTTGTAAGTGCGTGCAAATTTTCACACCGAGACGGCATCCGAGGAGCTCAGTACAAAACAAACATAATCAGAGATCAATTTTTTTGCAGCTTTGGGCATTTTTTGAGCTTTTATATTGTTTTCTTTGTGCCAAGCTCCTCAGATGTCATGTGAGCGTGAAACTTTGCAACCACCTAGAAGAATCTCTCATCTTTCATGTGTAGTTTTCTTTAGCTTTTTTTAAACGGGTTGTCTTTTTGAATTACTTCACTTGGTGCAGATGTACCCGAGCTCCTAACATTACTATCCTTGTGATTCCTTTTTTTTTTTGCCATGGATACATTATACACTAGGAATCTTATTTTACCGCTTGTCATTCCGCACGTGCATATGAGTTTTCTACTGAATCGTATATTCCAAGATCATAGCAGTTATAGCATACAATATAAGTTCGTAATTATGAATATATAAAATAATATAATATAATATTATTACCTTTAGGTCATATTTCCAACAATCGCGTTGTCTTCATCGACCAACGCCATTTGTGGATTCTAGGTCGGTGCACAATTGGCCAATGTACACCGTTGGAATAGGTCGATGTCGTCTTATTTTGAAAAGTAACTTGGTCTATGAATATACCAATAGAATCCAAGCCTTGAAACAGCAGAAAATAATCCATCAATGATATCATGTGAATTTCTTAATGACCACACTTCATTTTAGGAAGTACTTTAGTACAACAATTTGGATATGCATCTAATTGATTGATACTACTGAATTGCTTGTGGTGGATATGTATGCAATTAATATCTACCTTGCAATGGCCATATATATTTAGATGTCATGCACCTCATTCACCTAACCAGCACAACAACAAGAAACTTGATTGATCCCCAAGCTACATAAGCGCATCCATCAACCCAAAGTCGTACCACCATAAATCTGTCACCATGAGGACTTGCAGTCTCCTTCTCCTCATTGCCGCCACTGTTGCAGTGGCTTATCCCGTTGCCACATTCGCCCAAGTAGCCTGGTATCCAATTGGGGGCGTCAATGAACCGCACGTCCAAGAGCTCGGCAAGTGGGCAGTGGCGGAGCACGTCAAGCAGGCGCACGATGGGCTCAAGTTCATCAAGGTGATGAGCGGTGAAAAGGCGCCCGATGCCGGTGTGAAATATCACCTCATCATCAAAGCATTCAACAGCAACAACAAACCTGTTAGATACGAAGCGTTTTTGGTTGAGGAGATTAGGAGCAACACACGCAACCTCATCTCCTTTAGCCCCGTGAACTAAGTGATGACCAACTGGGTGGATAGTATTTTTGGATATAATAAACATGTACTAATGAGAATAAATAATTTTTGTAAGCGGTATGGAAAACTATTTGAATTGAGATAACAAGTTTTTGGCCTACAAATTTCAAAAGGTAGTTTGCTCCATCATTAAATTAAAAAAAAGGGCAACCTGGTGCATGTAGCTCCCGCTTGCGCAGGGTCCAGGGAAGGGTCCGACCACTTTGGGTCTCCATCATTAAATTGTCAACATAAAAAGTTCCTGGGAAGAAAAACTGGTTGTCATGTTGCATCTCTACTTTTCTCGGCATTATACTGAACTCCCTGGCGTGCAATTTCTTGGTGCTATCAATCATGTACTATAGGCTATCGTGCACTTTGTTGCGCTGTTATTCACTCGTGGGATTAATCTCTCTCGTAGATTATTGTAGTTCATTGTTTCATTTTGACTTTATCTGTGTTGGCTTAGTTTTTAACTATATTTTGGTGGTATTTTTTCATTCATATATTGTATTGGGATACCGTTGGAGATGGTATTTGTTTTGAAAGGAGAGTGGACTTGTTCTAGCGTGGTTCCTTGCATGTTCCGGCTTTATTGTCAATCAATGGTAATTGTGTGAGCCCGTCGGGTCGTCCAGTGAAGCTCGCGCTCGCTCACCTCGGCCCACTGCCTCACTCGCTTGCTTACCTTTTTTTCCTACTCGCTCCGCTGCTACCTTAGAAGAGACATGCTATCAATTTTTTTTGTTTTCAAATTTTTTGCTAAATCAAAAGATGTTCATGATTTTTTTAATCTTGGATTCTAAAAAATCTTCCGCCTGAGAAAAACATGATTTTATACAATGTTTGTAAATTTTTAAAATATTTAGGGATTTCAAATAGTCTTCATGAATTAAGCTCATATACAAGTAACAGCCGATACACAACTTCATAGGCAAGCCTACAACCGACTCAAAAACCACGACGTACCGGGAGCATCAAAAATCTTGGGAGCTTAGTAACTGTATAGATAAAAGATCAGCCTCATGACGAACTGAGCATAGCTCAGCTGGTTAGGTTCCTTGTGATGAAACCAGCACACCAAGGAGGAGACATTCATGCCGACTACGAGGCGCCTGTCGCGATTTCGTCAATCTTAAGATGGCGTGCCAGCTCTTGGAGATGCTCATAGCGATAGGGTGTGCATGCGTTCACAAGATGAGTGTATGTGCATTTATATGAGCGTCTATTTAAAAAACACTTAAAAAAAGATCGGCCTCCTGAATAGGGTGTGCCCTGATTATCTTAGTCTCGCCAAATTATGGTGAATATTTTGGAGGTTTAATGAAAACTATAAGGGAATTCATACTTGGAGCATTTTCCGGCGACAACACTGTGCCCTGATTATCTTAGTCTTGCCAAACTATGGTGAATATTTTGAAGGTTTAATGAAAACTAGAAGGGAAGCCGTGCATTGCCGCGGCCTGCTGGCCAGGAAAAAAAACTTAAACACAGGAGGACTATTAATCGAAGGATTTAACAAAATGAAAAGTTCAATACTATCTATTTTCCCCAAAAGTTCATGTTCATCTTTCCGGTTGAAGAGCACAATCCATCCTCGGTTTTTTATTTTTTACCTCTGAAAACAGCATTACTTACACTGAATATCACTATGCTTCTTAAATTGATATTATCTCATCTACTGCCTGGCTTATTTCCAACTCATGCAGCGTCTCACATACCCATTTTCAGACTTTTCTCACATAGTCAATGACTACATCACAGGAAAATATGTGTGTCATATACCAAACCTCTCATGCTAAATCATTAAGTCTAAAATGGAAAATTATCCAAATACAGTTGAAAGGCGAAATAAATCGATTGGACGTGGTTATGAAAGGGGCCAGCAGTAAAAGACCACGTTCTGAAGACTTGGCCACATGCATAATGCATTTCTGAATATTGTGGTACACATGTACAGCATGTAGAAAAACTAATCTGAAATATCCGCAAGTGGAATTAATAATATGCTCCAGAAGAAAATAGAGAGCTGCTGCCTACTGCTATCCTTTGTTCGTGATAACATGTGTAGCATTTTCTCCAGG